AATCTGAGGAGTTGATCAGCCCTGCTGTTTAACTCTAAGTTTTTCTTTGTAAACAAGACTGTATCAAATGGCTTCACCAAAACCCGGTCCACAACATTCAAACTCTCTGACATTATGTGCAGCTTGTTACCTAGCTAACTCGCTAGCTGGGACTGGTGCGAGGCTAGAGTGAAGTGTGTCCGTCTGTGGGTGCTTTGTGACGGTGGAGGGGCTCAGCAGCCCCCGCTAGACAGAAACTGTGTGATAGACGTCAGAAAGAGTGATAGAAGTCTGTCTCCAAACACAAGCAGATACAATAAAACCCACCAGAAATAAAAACTCGATTTGTTACTAGTCGTTTTTAACAAAGAAAATGTTGCTAAAAGGATTAATAAAGTCTCCGGTTCAACTCCGAACAGAAACAAAACTAAAAACTGCTCCACTGAATGTTTACACCAAAAGATCTCTGATTCGCTCACTTCGCTGTCAATCAAAAAGGGATTCAGGCTCAGACAGATCATCCAATCATTATGCAGAATCTGGGCGTCCGAACCCGCCCACTGCCCCATAGACCCCCAGAGACGCTCAGCGTCTGATGGGCGGGACAAAGCCAGCATTTATCCAATGACTTGTCTCGTTTCGTTGCAGTTTTTGCATCACTAATGAGCTCTGTGAAAGCTCAGCGTCTGCACTGTTAAAGCACCGTGAAGCTGTATGGAATCACTCAATTCTGGGGAAAAAAGTATGGAATCATGAAAAAACAGATAAACAAAAGACCATTCTAAATACATCACTAGTATTTAGTTGAACCATCTTTGTCTTTTATAACAGCTGCAGTCTGTGAGGCATGGACTTGATGAGTGACAAACAGTATTCTTCATCAATTTGGTGTCAACTCTCTTTGATAGCAGTTGCCAGATCAGCTTTGCAGGTCAGAACCTTCTTGTGGACCATTTCTTTCAATTTCCACCGCAGGTTTTCAATTGGGTTGAGATCTGGACTATTTGCAGGCCATGACATGGACTGAATGTGTCTTTCTCCAAGGAATGCCTTCACTGTTTTTGTCCTATGGCACAGTGCATTGTCATCTTGGAAAAAGATTTCATCACCTCCAAACATCTGTTCAACTGAAGGGATGAGAAAACTGTCCAACATGTCAATGTAAACTTGAGCATTGGTAGAAGAATGAACCACAGTCATCTCCCCAGTGCCTTTGCCTGACATGCAGCCCCATATCATCAAGGACTGTGGAAATGTGGTTGTTTTCTTCAGGCAGTCCTCTTCATAAATCTCACAGGTCCATCCGTTTTCTGCCGCTTATGTTTTACAGAATGAAATGTCTGAATGAGTGCTCATCCAAGACTGATGATTCCATATGTTTGCTAAGGGTTGTAGTTCTCTGTTAAATTCTCTTTGGTTCAGAAATCTATGATCTGTAAACTGGCTCACACAAATATACTGTGTATTTTTATTTTCATTGGAGGGTTACTTCCAAAAATGAAATCAAACCATTTTTTAAGAACCATGTCAAAAAGTCCTTGGCATCTGAAAATACATTTTGTCAAAGGCAGTTTTATCTGTAAAGGACTGGACTGAGAAATAGTATAAGTGGGGCCCGTCCATTGACTTCCATTCATTTTTTGGTAATTTTATATCCTAACCCTGACCACAAACCCTAACCCTAACCTCATAGGTACCTTCCTGACCCTAAAACTAAACTCAATTCACACCTTGGTCCTAAACCCAACCCCCCACCCAAAATCAGCCTCTGAAGTTGTGGGGCCCAAGGAGCACCCGGACCCCACGAGGATGCATTTTCCTTAAGACTGGGCCCCACGATGTAGGAAAAACAAGGACACACACACACGCACACATTTTGAGAGTTTACCCAGAACAATGTGGAGGGTTGCTGTGACTGGGTCTCGTACTCCGTGAACAGAACAAGAAACCACATCTGTWGAACCTGAAAAATAAATAGATTCAAATATAAATCCCATCATGCTGTTTGCAGCATTCTTCCTGCTGCTAACAGATACCTACCAGCAGGAATGATTCCTATTGGCAGCACAGCTTTCACCGGTTCTTCAGGACAGTTTGCATCCAGCTGAGCTCTGAGAACAAGAGCGTGACACAGCTCGGCTACTGATCCRTCACCACCAACACACACCACCCTGACACACATGGAGAAACTAATGAGCACAGGCAGACAGGCAGTTGTGTGTCTGACAAATGTRAGGTGATGTATTCTCATACAGAAAAAAGTGGTACAGTGAACAAATACCAGAGGAGTGAATTTAAAAATGTCATGTCATTCGTGTGGAAATCAGAACACCCACCCAAGGTTCACCCTTTGAAAGACCTGACCCTGTTTCTTGAGAAGATCAGGTTTTGCACCAGAGGATCAATCCAGAAATGTCATAATACCTGGGCCCCTGTACTACCTTACTTTGAAAAACTAGATGTCCTCCCTCAGATTTGAAAATCCCACAGAAACTAATCCTGCTGTRTATGTGCCTGTACCCCCGGCCCAGTGGTCCCAGTAATCCCTTACAGTTCTAATCATTGACAGGGACTTGGCTTTAAATTTGTATGAACTATGCTTGAATGTATGTTATCCACATATTTACTTTCTACAGTCTTACTCTTGTGAATTTTAAGTTTATTATTAATCAGCACAACAGTTGTTTTATTATTATTATTA